TATCCAGGCGCCTGGATCCTATCTGATGGTGCCTTCGGCCCCGAGGGAGTCATGTTCGGCCAAGTCACTAAGCGCAGCCACTGGAGCTGCTCTCCATTCGCCAGCGCGGCCCCCAGAAAGTTTCCATCGGGTGAACCGATGACCTGTCGACGGGTGCTGATCGGCCGCATCGGCCGGCATGGGCCGTCCTATCCGGCTCCAAATGCCTGAGGTACTTGGAGCCCTAGGCTATGCAAAGGATTTCAAGCAAGCCATATTGGAACATCACTTGGAACAACCATTGGTTTCTGCTTGGGGCTGGGGTTCCAGGTATGGCGAGGCTGGACCCCTCGACCCGACCGACCGAGCGGTTCGACCTGTCATGAGCATCCATACAACCACATGGGCCGGCATATTCCTTCCCCATACACTCCATGGGACTGGAATATATGCCTATACATTGACCCCCCCTGGCACCACCCCAATGTAGGCCGATCGGCTACGTCATTCATTCATTTATAGATGGCATTGCAATATTCTTTTCTATTTATTTTGATCATGCAATGCCATTAATAATATAAAATAGAGGATGCAGCATATTTAATTTATGTGGTTTCTTCTTTATTATTAATGCTGCATCCCCATAAAATAAAAGAAGATATAAATAATGAATAATATGGCATTTTCTTTTATAAATTAAGATAGCCAAGTTAAAGAAAATGCCATAAGTGAATGAATAATATTGCCATTAATGAAAATCCGTAAATATATACCATATACATGGAGTGTCTGGGTTCTAAAGGCAGTCTCATTCTAGTCGAGTTCTTTTTTTTGGGGTGGTAAAACATGTCGCGACAAGACTTTCGTCGACCTTTTCGTGGGTTGTTTTGGGGTCGTCGGTTACACATATATGGTTCCATGTCTAACTAGAGTCCGGATGGGAAGAGCCAAGCCAAAGCCAAGCCAAACCCTACAACCCTGTAAGCCTACTAGTAGTGTACCCTCCGGTTGGTTGGGAGACCGGTCATCCAAAGACACGGTCCCACGACTGGCATCACTTGGCACAGTGAACCAGCTGATGTTTCGGAATTCCGGAATGAAACGACCCCTATTCTCGGAGTGTTCCACTCCTGTTCCTCCAAACAAATACGTAACAACCCCCAGCTTCGAATCACCCGGACACCTCCACTGATCTTTTGACCAGTCCTCTGGTCTGTTCGGGCATCTCCCGCCTCCTGGCTGAGCCTTTGCGTCTCCGGATCCATGACATGGCGCAAGGTGCGCCCCCAGCCCACGCGTGGCCCATGGATGGTGAACCTCGGCCCGGGCTCCGTCCGACCGACGCCACCGAAGAACGACGGCAGACACAGACGGCAGACACAAAGGGATGCGATCCATGGAGGTTAGGGGTGCCCAGCTACTCCACTCACTTGGGGACTAAACCCCACCCCCTTTGTGACTCCTGGTAATACGGCATATGATTTCTATTTCAGGGAGAAAAAAGGCACACAGGATCGAAGACACTCCCCAAAACAGAGCAGCGCCTCTCGTGGAGTTTTGGCGCCTCAGATTGCTTGGGGTCACAAACACACGGTTCCCCGCGTGCCCCGTCAGACACCTTCGCTGAATCACAGACGCGGTGCCAAACACCGCCACAGCTGCCCGGTGGCATCAGCTCCCCCTGGCGGCTCTTGGCGAAGGAGCGCTCGGAGTGAAGCACCACCTGGCTGCTCCGGGCTGGCGACCGAACGTTGACTCTCGAGCCGTGTTCCAGCGCAATGTTCGGCATCACAAAGCAATAGATGTAGACTCTTGATGAATACAGTCTCTCTCATAGTTAAGTTACCTGAACCCTTGAAAGTGCAATAATTTCTGTACGTTTGGCATTTCTATCATTTAAACGATTCAAGCCAAAACTGTACACTCCAAAACAAAACTGGACGCTTTCTTAAATGACTCCCACCAGCAAGCACATCTATGCTTGGTGCATGATCACCTATGTACGAATCTTTGAGCCATACGAGGAGTTGATCAAGAGTTGTACGATACAATATCATGACTTTGGCTCTTTGAGTGTGTAGTACACTTCTAGCCAATTGCCACCCTGGGCACTTATCAACCTACAGGATATGGTGAAACTTCAAGATTGCCATATGTGGCAAGCATTCACACTAGTTTGCTCCATCCCACGAGCTCCAGGTCAAATCTTCTCATGATGGTAGGCCATTAAATCGCTAAATTTGAAACTGTACAGAAATCCCACTTTGTGCACTCTTGCGGGGCTTTGCGTACTTTTTGCGGATATTTGCGTATTCTTTGCGGATATGTGCGTACGCTTCTTTTGTCGTTGTGCAGGGAAAAGTGTGACCATGTATGAAATATATTGAAAGCACTAGTATTGAATCCACACCAAAACATGCATATGGCATGTGGGATTTCATTTGGCAGCTCATTGATAGATCATGATGGATCTATATAATTATGCCAAAGAAACACCAAGTTAGGTGTCAAAATCTGTGACAGGATGGACAGGTGTAAAAAAAAATGATACGCATGGATTTGCACATCTATCATCGATCGTGTTTCTTAAGAGGTGATTCTACAATGGAGATCATGCGTATCTTAAAGCCAAGCATGGAGTGGTGAAGAATCTGCTCTTGATATCTGATATATGATCTTGTCCTCCACTCAGTGATTTCTTCACGTTTGGACCAACTGGAACATTCAGTCCGCTTTTCAGGATTTGCGGCTTTTTTGCGTCTTTTTGCGTTCACAAACCCAACAGTTCAAAAATTAGTAAACTCTTCAGGGTCCAGGTATTTTGTTTATGAAGCGGCAAAGAGGTATTACCATCCAAATGGTTTCTGTTTTGTCTGTGTTTAATGTTGATCAAGAAGTCTACATTTACTGTCATTACCAGCCTATACCAACACTCTCACTGCCAGTTGACTGTTTACAAGACCTCCATCCCACCGTCCAACCAGTCTCCGTCCCATCCTCGGTTCGTTCGCCGAATTTCGGTCTCTTGGGCGTGCTTCTCTAGACCAAAACGGAGAAACAGGGACCCCAACCAGACTGCACACGACTCCGGGTGTAGCGGAGTCGATCGACCAGTCGAGAAAAGGACGATGAACAATCAGCACAGATCGAGGCATCTTCGCCCGAGGCACGGAGCTAATCTGATTGAGGTTCACGAAGTTCTCCCAGCTCGCGCCGTGAAGCCTCGGACGGACCGGCGTGGTTAGAGAGGGGGGGGTCGACCGCCCGCCGCGGGGGGTGTTAGGCACCATGTGGGGCGCCAAAGCACGGGCAAGGCATGTGGGCGTATAGGCATGTGGGCATATTTGGGTGCGTGGGCGCCAAAAGAGTCCAGAAGATCGTGTTCGGAACGAAGCACGTGGCCAATGTCAAAGAATCTGTGCTGCGGCTCAGCTACAGGGAGCTGCCCTCGTGCTCGCTGAAGGAGAGCATGTTGAAGTTTTCGGAGATGCTTAAGGCCATCTTCTGCAAGTCCACGTTCACCTGTTCAGCGTATTTGGGGATTGCATGGTTGCATCAACGGCCTCTGCTCTGAACCCGCTCAGTCCCATGAAAACAGACATTTCGAAACATCAAGAAACCGTTCTTGAGGCGAGCGAACCATCTAGAAGGCCACATAAAGGCCCAGGGCCAACTCCGAGCATCTCATATCTCAACCAACATGCGAAGTCGGTCGTTCACCAAGACTCGACAAGGGTTGGCCGCTCTCCTCCGCCGGGCGCCCGGTCGACCCGTCTCGTCTCGTCTTCCCGGCTGCCTCGGGGGCCCCCCCAGGCCTCGGAGTAGGAGGAGGCCTTGGAGTTGATGTACATGTCGATATCCTCGAAGAAGGCGTTCAAGCCTGGACCAGGACACGAAAGGCTGGCAAACGATGGACGTGGAGAGGGGGGGTGGAGAGGGGAGGCGGGAGAAGCGACCCTGTGTGGCAGCTGAGCTGGAATCCAACGGCCACTTGTTTTTCTTCAATTGATCGAGTTGGAAAGGAAGGAAGGTCTGGCACACTCGGAATCATCACGGGAACCCGTGGATGGTCTCGGAGACTCGGATGACCACCACCATGGTGCCAACCACGGCGGAAGACACGTGATGTGGCACGTGAGGTGTGCCTCCCTTCGCCACCGAAAGGGTGGTTGACCTGTCCATCTGGCCGTCCAACCTCGCCAAGATCTGCATGGCTAGAGCCACAGAACAAGCACACCTCCGTGTCGTGGATCCAAGTTTGCAGGTTGACGCTTGGACATCCCCTCATCTGGACGCAAGGTTTGTTTGGGCCTCTGCGCCGTCCCTCTCCAAAATAAAGTTTTCGTTCAAAAGAAACAAACAGAAAGCTATTTAGGGTGGAGAGTGGGGAACAGAAGTGGTTGCAACTCACGTTTTGGACCGCCTTCCAGCACTCTTTTCAAAAGGCTTGATTGAGGGCCTGCCCGACAAGACCCATTACACTACGAAGAGCTGATCAAAAGAGCTCATTGTGCTGCTGCTTGTGCTGCTTCTGTGTCTATGTTGTTCAATGTGTTTTTTCAAAGTGTTCCATGCAACCCTATGATTCCCAAGTATTTCATCTATTTTCTACGTTGGCTTATTATAGGGTTCCCAGACCGGTGCATCGTCTCCTCGCCTCCTCGTGTCCCATCATGCTCCCAATGAGTCGTTCCTCAGTTCCTTCCCCGCCTTCACCCCGCAAAGCCATGTGAAGCACTTCCCGAGTCGACAAGGAGCTGAACGACCCCATCCTCGCGAAAGTCAACACGGTCGACCCGTGTCGGTCCGAGTAGGGCTCCGAGTAGGGCGGTGGCCCAAGCCGGGGAGTAGGGCTTGGCATGGCTGGTAGGGCTTGGCATGACTGGTGTGCTGGCTGGTGTGATGAACGAAGTGGCCATTTTTGAGCAACCCATCACATCCATCATTCATGGCGGAGCCGCGGAGCAGCATCTGAATCATGTTATTTCTAAATGGTAGAATTGTATATGGTTTTTCTTTGACTGGATGCTGACTGGACTCTTTTTGTCTGAGAGACTTCCTGTACATGCGCAACCGCTGCAGCTCAGAGTTGCATGTTGGCCTCATTGAGGGTCATGTTTGGACATCCCATGGATCTGTACAATTGAATTGTGTCACACATCCGTGTGCTCGTGCATGCCAAGCACTGACATCAACTCCGGCGACACAGGGAAGGGCCTCTCTGGCTGAACCGGCCACAATGCTTGAGCGGCCTCCAGCGCATGGCCTGCTTCCAACGCAGCAACTGCTGCCTTGAACCTGGGGGTTTCGTCCGTAATGTCCAGCACGAAGCTTGGATCCAGAAGTTTCTCCAGTGCTGCCCCTCGCAAACCCACCTGGATGGACCGGACCTCTTTGAGCGGCCTGGTATACACGTGCTTGCCAGACGACGGCACATCCATGACGCGCTCAGGATCCCACTGTACAACCACAGGGCTGTCGCGACAAAGAGTAACAGAATGCGACAACTGTGCTTTCAAGAGCAACTCTTCGAAGCCCTGGCGTGAAAGGCGTAATGCAAGGACGTGTGCCTGGTTTGGATCCTTAAACGTTGTCCAGCCGCAGCGGTATCCACACAGCACTCAGTTTGATCCAAGTCCTGCGACCCGCTTTGTAAAGACCGGCTTCCATGGGTGCTCGGAAGGAGTTGGCCGCAACAGCTGCCTCCGCGATGGCCTGGTTGAATGCCTGGTACACGGTGACCGTTTCCTCATCGTAGATGGCGCGAATCTCTCGATGCTCGACCCTGCGACCTCCATCGGACAGCCGGTCTCGACCGGAAGTGGCCGGAGGGGAGGAAGCGGGCTCCGCGGAAGTGGAGATCTTCAAATGCTGCTTGAGGACTTCTCCCACGGCGGCTCCTAGCAGGCCTCTCCGGACGAGCTGGTCAACGGTCTGAGAAGTAGGTCCCAGCTCTTGGAAGTCTTTGCGGATACTGCTGGAGCTCAACTCAGCAGTCACCCCCTCGCCTTTTTGGGTGATGCCACCCTTCTTGGCCTCCTGACGCACGCCGAAGACTGCAGTGGATGGATCACGAAAACTGGCCACCATGGCCTGTCCACAGGCCTTCCATCCAGCAAACTCTGCAGCAGAAATGGCCCATCCGCGATCCGTGGCAACGGCCTTGCACATTTCAGCGCGCACCGTGGCAGTCATCCAGGGCTCCATCTGCGCGACTTTCTTCCGGACATATCCATCTGGGGCCACTGCGAAGTAGCCCGCAACCACCGAGAAGTGGCCACCAGCCTCAATCTGGCGCTTCGCGTCTTCCAGTGCTTGAACATGACCGCTGTGCACTGGGCAAAAGCAACCGTTGAACACCACTATGGCCGGAACACGTGCCATGCGGGAAACGAGGAACCTCAAAGACAAATCCCTGGGAACGCTGGAAATCCGGAGCTTTTGAACACTTCACTGATTGCAAGGTGATGTGATCCATTTGATCCATTAATGCTGACAGTGGCGCTGGAATGTGTTCGTGGTGAGGTCACGGCTTTCTTCATGAATTTTTCTCAGCTCGTATCTGCCATCCCTTTGATAGGTAAGCTCTAACCTTGCTGACAAAAGATGACCAAAGGCTATGCCAAGCTCTAAGCTCTAAGCCCCTCTGCACCTTTCGTTTCTTGAGGCGTGTCGAAACCGACCGTTGATGCAAGCAAGCAAACGTACCGCGGAGCTAACTTTCCACCTGGCGGACGAAGCGGTGGTTCTGCTGCCGTGGTCCCATCACCCTTAGACTGACTGGTGCGGTATCCATTACCCAGACACGACCTGTCTGGGACTGCCAGTCCGGACTGCCGTATATACGGCCAGGGGTGGTGGTTTTGGGGGTCAATGGGGCGGCAGTCCTATGGCAGTCCCATGGAGTGTCTGGGTTATAGTAAGGAATGAGGGAATGGATCCTAATGATGGTATATATCCATTTATATAGTGGAGGGGTCGTTCCAAATTCAGGACGAAATCGTCGCACCAGTCAGAAGAAAGTGGACCCTGGTGTAGTCTAAACCCTTTAAAACCGTGGTCCGTCAAACCTCGCTCACCTCGCTTACCAGAACTAGAGCACTATAGGTGACGGCCCCGCTCCTCTCGTGGTGCTTCGGCGCGGGTACCCATGTAGAAGGTCAAGTTGGATCCATACCCAGTGCATGCCAGGCAAACCACTATATAAGGAACCAGGGATTCGTTCGGTCTATGGTGTTAGTCTTTAGAACCACTGGTTACCAGCTATAGTGGTAACTGGTAGCTGGATGCCCTGGGATATCTGAAGTAAAGGGACATCCTTTTTGCGGGTCACCTAAAGACCCCTGTTTCAACAGTGGTTGCAGAGTTGCAGAGTAGATGGCACAAACCCCAAGGTATGGCACTGTCCTGTAGAAAGGAGATCCGTATAAACCACCTATATATAACTTGGACATTTCAAAGGTCTTCTTTGACAGCACATCGGATCATCGGATGCTCGTCCCCTAGCTCGGCTCCGGCTTGGACGCTTGGCCGATCTGAAGCGCCGGCGCGGCACATGGAGACGCCCTTCATCATCTGCTGAACTCGGGTGTTCACATTGGTGCCCAGCGCATAGGATCGGTCGAAGATGTGATCCTGGCGAGGTCGAGCGCCGCATCGAGCGCAGGTCGATCCGCAGAACATACTGCTTTCTTCATCTCCTCCTTTCTTCTCGTATCTGCTTGGATCCGTGCGCCTGGGGACACGTGACAGGCTTTAAGTAAGCACCACGTTAAGCAACTGGCCACGTGATCTACGTCCTCTGCTCCGGGGAAGGTCGGAGGGTCCGTCCGGCGCGAAACCGAGTGGCTACTGCAATCCATTGCAATCCCACCCCAATCCTCTCCCATCTTCCTCAACCAAAAACCCGCGCGAAGACCGTAGGACGTGGCCCCCCATGTTGAAACCCTGACCCTCCCCAAACATCCCGCCATGCCCCGGCCCCAAACATCCCGCGACTGGTCCCCGCCTGGCGGAAGTGTCGGAAGAGGAGCTGCGCCTTGTTGATCGCCGCCAGCCGAATCATCGCCGGCGACCTGCCGCGGCCGAATGGTGCTGCCTGCTGTCGCCTCTGGCCACAACAAAGGTATGGTTTTAGGTAAAATGGTTCTAAGCTTGATTGGTATGGCTAAGGTGGGCCACGGTGGGTATGGTTTTGGATGGTAGCTGATCAAATGGCAAAGTAGAACCATGTTCTTCCATCCCAGCTTCGGTCCTAAGCTTGATTGGCCAAAAGAGATTCTGAGATTGATGCACAAACAAGGTGGATCCTTGGTACAAAGCAACACCCTACAAGTCCAGTCTGACCCAGTAAAACCTGGTCTTTTACCTCCTTAAGTATTGGTTTTGTATGACCATCTCCAGTAAAATGAGGTCTTTGACTTGTAGGGACAGGTACTTGGCATGAATAAGGATGAATCAGGATGAATCAGCTGAAGCGAAGCCACAAAATTCAAAACGACCTGAAAGGGCCCCTCCTTCAAGGGCTGGACGACGAAGCTGAACGACACTGAAGAATGGTTACTATGTAGACTGTATCTGTATAGATCATAACAAAGATGGACAAACAAAAGAAGTACGTGAAAGGCTTTGGCCATGTTTTGCTGACGGTTTAAACGCTCAAAACGGGAGACCCCCCGTCTTGTGCCTGCACCATCGGTCTGACCCCCTCCCATCCCCCCCCAACCAGAGTAGATCGACCGAATGAAGCGTTCGCAGCAGCGCACCTGGCCGTTTGGTTGTTGATCCTCTCCATCTTATCCCGCAAGAAGCGTGCGGCCCAATCCTGCTGTTCCTGCCGTTCGGGGTCGGCGCCCGGAGCGGCGATCGGATCCTGCACCACCTTCCGGGCTGGAAAAAGATCCCAGACACGACTAATGGGACTGGCATATCCATACATTGGGGTGGTTGAAAAGGGAGCCCTGTAGGCATATATACCAGTCCCATGGAGTGCTTGGGCATGGACAAATACTAACTGAAAAGCCGGTTGGCTGGCTAGGTCTCCGTATGTCGCGGATACATACGCGCGGTTCAACTGTGACGCGCGAAAGAAGGCGCCCTTCAACTGTGAGGTTTTTTTTTGCAGGGTCAGCTGTACTTGATGGTCCTCCCAACAGTGATGAGGGACTGTACTTGATGGCTCAGCTGTACTTGATGTATGGCTCAGCCTCCCTACACTCCTTCTGAGCCTCCCAACAGGCTTCCACGCCGTGATGGGTCTGGTCGAACATACGCGTCGTATCAGTGCGGTGATTCGATAAGATTCGCCGTGGTTCGATGGGTTTTTGGCATGCGCAATAGTGGCTATCATGCATCAGTGTGTGGCTACTAGTCAGTGTGATTCCCTTGAAAACCGAAAACCTGTGATTCACCTATACATGAGTCAAATGCGATGCTGTGACCTTAAATGCTCCCCCCCAAAAAAATAAACACCGACGGTCTGCGGCACTGTATTCATCAAAGTGTGGCTGCACTGAATTCGATTCACAGAGTTCGTCGGGGTTTAGCAGCCAATCTCATTCCTGTGGCTGCTTTCAGACTCGGGATCCGTCATGGAGGCTGGCAGGATAAACCTCCCTCCAACGTTCGCAGGCTTGTTGGACGCCCTGTCGCCTGCGAAGACTATGTTCCTCTACAAGCTGGGGGTTAACTTTGGGTGTGTACCAGTCACAGTGGATGATGATGGTTAGCAAAGGCCTTTTCAAAAGCAGACCATCTTTTATTGACTGTTACAGCTCATGGGACACACACTAGGTTAACTCCACTTCCATGATTCTTGCACGGAGGGTCGTGCTATGTACATTGCTTGATGATAGAAACTGCATGGATGCTTCCCCAGTGCCGGCCCCACGTGCTATGTAGATCTATGTAGTATATAAACCCTACAAGTCCAAAGGCCCAGTAAAATCAGGTCGTTTGCTTGCTTGGATGGTGCTTTTGTATGACCAACTCCAGTAAAATGAGGTCATTGAGTCCTTGACCTGTAGGGAAAGGATCTCAATGGCCATATCATTAAACAACCATCTGTTTCGGGTTGGGACTGAGTTGCCAGGTCTTGTTGATCCTTTCGCAGGTCTTCAAGCCGTGGATTTCCACATGCCTCCCTTCTGGCCGCCCTTTCTGCACTCTTTCGTTCCGTCCTTCCGCAGCTTCTCTTGCTGAGTCTTCTGCATGTACACCAGGCGGGCCTGTGAGTTAGCATACCATCCCCAGAAAACGGTCCAAGGTCTGCCAAACGTCTGCCTGTTCATGTCTAAAACCACCCTAAAGGCAAAAAACATGTTGCATAGTTGGAAGATCCGGGTATATCCTGTGTACTGTATACTTGTTCTTTTTTGGGGCATCGGTGGAGTTCGTCGTTCTGGATGCTAAAAAACCCTCCGGGTCACAAGGTGTGAAGGGTTACCGGTGCTGAGCATGAACCAACCTCCAACAGAAAAGAGTGCCGGAACACTCGTCTGAAGGAATGTTTAGCATAACAACCACCAAACATCCAAACACCAATGTGCGCACGTCCTTCCAAAATCTCCACAGGCCTTGATAGGCAAACTTCCGCTGACATAATTTGAATTGAAGTTCTCAGGTGCCTTCATCTCATATCCTCTAGCAGTTCCCCATGCTTCTTCTCCATCATCTTCCATGCAGTTTCCACCAATGTCTATCTGCACCTCACCACCTCCGCTTGCACCTCTTTCGCCTCGCCGTCCCAGCCCAGCTCTTTTCCTCCATGGATACCTCTCGCGCTGGATCCCGCCCCGTTCCCGTCCGCGCCGGAACCGCGCGCGGCGTCTGCGCGCGGCCTTGTTCCAGGCGCGGCTGAGGTCCAACTTTGTGAGACGCATCGCCAGGCCGCGGATCAGCCGCCGGGTGTCCTCCAACTCCTCCACAGTAACGCTGGGCGTCACGTGGTGGTCGGTGTGTGTGAGGGAGAGAATCGGTCCGAAGTCGGTTGCGGTGAAGGCGAAAGGGTCCGCTTTTCTGAGAACCAATTGGTCCGCAAAGGGCTGGTGGACGTGAGAGGCTGGAGGTTGAGGGTCAAACCTAAACAGTATGTTGGAGCAGTTTCAAGGCCCTATGATGCCAGCATGCCTTGCGAAATGATCCAAAAGGAGCTTACGGCCATGCCAACAGCCTGTTCACTCCATGACTGAAACCATGACTACTCAGTCCCAAATCGGTGATTCTTCGTCGCGGCGCAGAAGGTCAAGCGACCGCCCACTCCATCCAGCGAATCCACCGATGTAGATGCTCCAGGCCTTGTAATACTTGAAGGCTGCGTTCCACCCTTTTGCCATGATGGACCCCGCCACTCGTCCAATGACAAAGGCCATGGCCTGGTTTGCCGGTGTCCGGTGGAGGGGTGGAGTGGGCGAGAGTGTTGGCATCCCTTTTTCCAGAGCCCAACCAAAAGTATCAA